CACTAAAAAAGAAGCTTTCTGTTCCATAAATCTGTTTATTTTGCAAAGGAACAGTCCAGAAGACCATATGAACTATAATTGATGATAATATTTAGTTCAGTAAGCACAAGAACAGGAAGAAGAAATAACTAGAATAAATGTTAAATTATTAGGGCCTAATACAGGGAATTAAACTTTTTAACATTACAGATTGATATACCCATGTAAAAATGAATCTTGTGTAAAAAGAACATCAGAATAAATGGTATATCAGATTATGAAATAAGGTTATGATAGAGCACAATTATACAAAGCACATCCATGAAACTGAATTCAGAATTCTTAATACTGACTAAATTAATCAGGAAGAATTAGATGATATATTATGCTTGAATAAGAATAGAGAAGAGATCTCAGCTTAGATTACATAAATGTAACTGCAATTATTCTTAAGTATGGATGTGAAAGGAGACTTAAATGTTAAATTAGCACTAGATGTCAATCAAATGTCAAGGAAATAAGGAATAAAACTAGTGATGTGAGGGAAATAAATGTCTAATCTGTTTCCAAGTCCTGTTGAGTCCCCCTATAAAATCTTTCTTAAACCCTTAGCTGGTTTGGTTCAGTGGATAGAGTGTCTGCCTGCAGATTGAAGGGTTCCAGGTTCAATTCCAGTCAAGGGTACAGGCCAGGTTGTGGGCTCCATCCCAGTAGGGAGCATGCATAAAGCAGCCGATCAATGATTCTATGTCATCATTGATGTTTCTATCTCTCCCTTCCTCTCTGAAATAAAAAAAATATATTTAAAAAATCTTTCTTAAATTTGTCACCTAAACATTTGCAGTGCCTCCATCTTAGTCTACCATAACAGTTTATTCCCCCACCCCCCCCGCAGATTCCCCCAGCTTAAACTCAAAGAACATAATGACACCAGATCCTTTTTGAGAAATTTGTTTAATGAATCCAATCAAATCACCTCTTTCTGACTTCAAGACCATCCATAACCCAGTGCCATCTTACCTATACAAGCTTATTTTCCATTCCCCCTAACAGACCAGGTTAGGCCATGCTGAATACTATCTCCAAAGCACTACATGCTCATCTCTGTCTTTGGCCCTTCTTAAGTTATCATAGCCTTTCTGCTCTGTCTGTGCCATTAGCCTTCAAGGCTCAGATTGAGTTCCAACCCATCCAAAAGATTTTTCTTTAACTCTCTTACTTCTCTGATTTCCCAATACAATTGTAAATGGAATAACACACTCTGTAGATAATTAAATTATTTTGTAAGTATTTATTAAATGGAAGTCTTGTTTCTTCAACTATGTTGTAAATCCATTGAAGGGATATAATTCAATATTACCTCAATTATTTCAATGGGTCTAGCCCTGTGGTCGGCAAACTGCGGCTCGCGAGCCACATGCGGCTCTTTGGCCCCTTGAGTGTGGCGCTTCCTAAGCCTTAGGAGTACTCTAATTAAGTTAATAATAATGTATCTACCTATATAGTTTAAGTTTAAAAAATTTGGCTCTCAAAAGAAATTTCAATCGTTGTACTGTTAATATTTGGCTCTGTTGGCTAATGACTTTGCCGACCATTGGTAGACCATTTTATTCTAACATTTTGACCCATTTTGATAGAGTAGATATTTGGACCTAAGGACATGTTGAATTCTTGTTTGTATGTACAAACATTTGATTCAGAATTACATTTCACTGACTATTTTTATTGAGAAAGCATATTAAGAGTGAATTCAACTCACCCAATTTAATCTTCAAAGCAATTTCCTAGTAAATGCTATGGAAACATTTAAATGTTTTCTGTATTAATGTTTATTTTACTGAAATTTTAATCATAAACTAACTTTTCCATGTTCATCTTACAATGACTATCACATTTTTATAGAGGTATAAGTAACATATAATAAACTTCAAATATTGAAAGTATACAATGTGATAAATTTTGGCATATGTATACACCCATGCAACCACAATTAAGATAGTGAATATACCCATCAGCCTCCAACCCTAACCTTAACCCTAACCCTCTTTCAATGTTCCCACTGCCATGTGCCCCCCAGAAAAGCACTTGTCTGCTTTCTGTTTGTATAGATTAGTTTGCATTTTTAAGAGTTTTACGTGAATGAAATCATATATTATGTACTCTTTTTTTCTGGCTGTTTTCACTCAATGTATTTATTTTGAAATTCATTTACATTGTTATGTTGTATCAATAATTGAATCCTTTTATTATTTAAAGGTACTACATTGTATGGACATAATACAATGTTTCTTTGTCCATTCTCCTATTGATGGACACTTAATTTCAGTTTTTAAATATTCATGGTTAAGTATTTGCATGTATATAAGTTGTCATTTCTTTTGAGTAAAAACAGTAAGTCCTCACTTAACACTGTCAATAGGTTCTTGGAAATTGCCACTTTAAGCAAAATGAAGTATAAAGAAACCAATTTTATTATAGGGTAATTGATATAAATGAGAGTTAGGTTCCTACAGCATATTTCTGACCCCCAAAACATCACCAAATTTCTAAATAAAGACCCCAAACACTTTTAATATTAAACATTGAAGTAAATGTGAGCTATACATACATTTAAGAAAAATTAACAAAAACAAGTAAGAATGTCTTTCTAACCCGCTGGTTCCAGTTCAGAGTGATGGGTAGCTAGAAGCTCTCCCAGTAGCTCAGGGTAAAAGGCAGGACCCACCTTGGACAGGATAACAGAGCACATCATACACACACATGGCAGATTATAATTGTAGATCACACAGAGAGAACAAAGGGTAAAATATTTAACTGCAGCAGTGTTTAACTATATTCTGCACAGTGAGAAAACCTGAAGTCATTTTCACGGTCCACCATTTCTTACTTCTTTTCAGTTGGGCCAAATTTCTAAGCTTTCTAAATCTCCATTTAGAAAGCTAATAATAAGAAAATAGGATTCCACTGAGTCTCCTATCTTCTAATGTGCAGCCAAGGTTGAGAACCACTGCTCTAGAGAGAGGAAGCTGGGTGTTGTGCTACCGTGACGTCATTACCCGGTACCCACAGCCACCATTCCTGGGCTGGGCGCCGCATTTTGCTCCATGGCAACATCAGCTGCGATTTGGTGGAGTGTCGATTCAGTGGGGTGTTGCTTAGGGGTGGTGGCAGGGCCAGTGTCCCACTTCGGGGAAGCCAAATGTTGCTTTGTCGGCACCAGGTCCACGCTGCTGTTTCTCTGTAAATGGCCAGTGAGCATCACGGCAGCTCCTGCATTGAGTGTCTGCCCCCTGGTGGTCAGTGCACGTCATAGCAACCAGTCGGATGGGCAGAGGGACACAACATATTAGCCTTATATACTAGTATATACAGATTCCTTTCCTAATGTTTTCTTTTTTTAAATTTGATTTCATTTACTTATTTATTGTTAATCCTCATCTGAGGATATCTTTTCATTGACTTTTAGAGAGTGAAAGAAAGGGGGAGAGATAGATAAACATCGATGTGAAAGAGACACATTGATTGGTTGCCTCCTACATGGCAGGGGATCAAGCCTGCAACCGAGGTGCTCTTGACCAGAATCAAACCCAGGACCCTACTTGCGGGCTGATGCTCTATCAACTGAGCCAATCTGGCTAGGGTCCTTTCCTAATATTTTCTCTAATGAATTTAGTTTCCCTTCTCATCTCTCTTGATTCTGGAAGTTCTCAATTAATACTTGAATTGATTTTTTATCTAAGAAAGATGAGGTACAACATTCCTTTCTGACACCAGTGGGTCTAAATAATTGTATTTTACTTACTAATTCATCCAAGCGTCTGATTCTCAGTTTTGTTCATTCTGTGGGTCATGCATATGGCAAATGTAATTTCTTGCAACATATTTATTTTCATTAACCCGTGTGGCCAGGAAGCAATTTTGACAAATTGTAATTGTTTCCTGTATTTCTTTTTCTGAAGTAGAGTCTATGACAGATAAACATTTGTGGAGATTTCACTAAGACAATTAGATTGTTGACTGATTGTTCAAATGGAAATGAATGTAAAACAGATGCATAGGATATGCAAATTAATTATAACTGAATATCTTCAAGCATTCTGATAGTTTTGCCGGGTAATTTTACTGGCTATTAGTGAAAAGATTTCAATAACTCTGATTGGGGATGGTGGGGTGGCAGTGGCTTGAATAGTTAGGTTCAGGTTCTGAGAACGGAGTCCTAAAATCCAAGATTTATTAGCTTCATATGACCAGTGTTATACCTTTAGAATTCCACCTAAAACCAAAACCTGTATTTCAAAAATGAACTTAAAGGTTGTTTCATGATCAAAGAGTTTTCTTCCAGCTATACTTAAGATATTTTGGCGATCTTGACACAACCTCAAAGAATGATGGAACAGAATTCGGAGAACTTTTCCAAGTTGTGTAAGGTGGCAGTTTGGCTGAGACCCCCACACACACTGAAAAGAGAGGCTTCCTTGAAAACATTTGAAAAGTCTTTTCTTATTTTGGAATTCTAAATTATGGCCACAATGCACATGGGCTCAAAACTCAGTGCACGTCTTCTGCACTGAGATTCCTCCCCACATGATCCCCAATCATTTAACCAGTCAACGATTCCTGAGGCACTTGTGGTAAGCGTTTCCATAAGGCGACTGTCCAATAGCTGTTTCAATATATTCTGAAACGAACTCCTTTCACCCCATCTAATATACTTGCCTTTGTTTCGCAGACAGAAAAAGGTGAAGCAACTTAGAGATTCGGGGACATACGGCCAAATGACCTACAGTTAAGCTGGTGTCGCTTCGCAAGATTTTGGTACCCAAAGCAACGGAACCGGGATTTAGCATCCTTCCTCCGATCACACATTTCTCAGAGCAAGCGTTCTTTCTGCACGTTTCAACATCCTCGGTTCCCTACCCAACACCTCCTCCAAGCCCGCCCCCCGGTTCCTTCCCACTCT